ATCATACACCACTCATCATACACCACTCATCATACACCACTCATCATGCACCACTCATCACTACACCGCTCATCAATACACCACTCATCAATACACCACTCATCAATACACCACTCATCATACACCACTCATCACGCAACACTCATCATACACCACCAATCATGCACCACTCATCATACACCACTCATCATCCAGTTAGCTCTAGCTCCAGTTAGCATCATGTGCAGATTTCCTTGCAGGCACAGCACTTTGTGAACCTCTATGTGCAGATTTCGTGGCAGGCACAGCACTTTGTGAACCTCCATGTGCAGATTTCGTGGCAGGCACAGCACTTGTGAAGCTTGAGGTGCAGATTTCGTGGCAGGCGAAATACAAAATACGTTTTCCAGAGATAGCGGACGCACGAAATGCTGTGTTTTTCAAAAGAAAGGGTGGCTCCGAAGCTGGCCAGTCAAGCTTTGCGGAACGATGTGTGCGAGACGGTCGCGGGTCTTGGTCGGATCATTCTCGGAACATTCTCGGAATCGTCCCTCCATTGTGATTAGAGTTTTCACTTGTTTCTTGACGTGCAGATGTCGTGGCAGGCGCAGCACTTTGTGGACCTCCATGTGCAGATTTCGTGGCAGGCACAGCACTGTGTGAACCTCGAGGTGCAGACTTGTGAACCTCCATGTGCAGAAAGCACAGCACTTGTGAAGCTTGAGGTGCAGATTTCGTGGCAGGCGCAATACAAAATACATTTTCCAGAGATAGCGGACGCACGACATGCTGTGTTTTTGAAAAAAAAGGGTGGCTCCGAAGCTGGCCAGTCAAGCTTTGCGGAACGATGTGTCCGAGATGGTCTCGGGCCATGGTCGGATCATTCTCGGAATCGTCCCTCCATTGTGATTTGAGTTTTCACTTGTTTCTTGACGTGCAAATGTCGTGGCAGGCGCAGCACTTTGTGAACCTCCATGTGCAGATTCCGTGGCAGGCGCAGCACTTTGTGAACCTCCATGTGCTGCATCAGGCACAGCACTTTGTGAACCTCCATGTGCAGATTTCGTGGCAGGCACAGCATCTGCAGAGCTGGAAGATGAGAACTGGCGACTTTGTAGTACAACTTTAGAACGCGGAGCAATCTGTGGAGCCGGAAGCTGAGAACTGGCGACTTAGTAGTACAACTTTAGTATGCGAAGCAATCTGTGGAGCTGGAAGCTGAGAACTGGCGACTTTGTAGTACAACTTTAGTACGCGGAGCAATCTGGGGAGCTGGAAGCTGAGAACTGGCAACTTTGTAGTACATCTTGGCGACTTTGTAGTACAACTTTAGTACGCGGAGTATCTGGGGAGCTGGAAGATGAGAACTGGCGACTTTGTAGTGCATCTGGGGAGCTGGAAGATGAGAACTGGC